TGTTTTTAGGTATTTTTGAGGATTTCTCTTGAAATTAAACTTAAGTTTAATTCCAACATGGTCAGAGAAGATGTTGGATATAGTTTCTATGTCTCTGAATCTGCAGAGGCTTGCTTTGTGTCCTATGATGTGGTCAGTCTTCGAGAAAGTTCCATGTCGGGGTGAGAATAAAACTATATCTTGTGGTTTTTGGGTGGAAAGTTCTATAGATGTCTGTTAAGTCCAATTGATTTATGGTATCATTTAGATCCTTTATCTCTTTACCTATTTTTTGCCTAGATGATCTGTCCAGAGGGGATAATGCTGTGCTGAGATCTCCAACAATTAGTGTGTTGCAGTCTATCTCCCCTTTCAGTCTTTTCTTCACATATTTGGGTGCTCCTGTGTTAGGAGCATAGATATTAATAAGCATTATATCTTCTCAATCTATAGAGCCTTTTACTATGATATAGTGCCCTTCTTTGTCTCTTCGAACAGGCAAAACATGTGAACAGACAAATCTGTTTGTCTGGACATTAAGAAAATGAAAATCAAAGCCACAATGAGAAACCACATCACACGTACTAGGATGGCTATCCTCAAATAACAAGTAGTGATAAATGTGGAGAAATTGGAATCCTCATATTTTGCTGCCTCATGCTTTGTAAAATGGTGCTGCCATATTGGAAAACTGTTTTAACGGTTCCACAAAAGATAAACATAAAGTTATCAAATTTCCACTCATTGGCATATCCAAAAAAAAAGAAAACAAAAACTTGTACACAAATGTTCACAGCATTCATATATTCATAATATCCGAAAGGTAGAAGCAGCACAAAGGTCCATCAACTGACAAATGGAGAAACAGAATGTGGCATAGCCATACCATGAAATATTATTCAACCATAAGAAAAGTGAAATTCTGATACATGTTACCATGTAGATATACCCCAAAACATTATTTTACAAGGAAGAAGCCAGATACAAAAGGTCGCAAATTGTATGATTCCATTTATGTGGAACATTTAGAATGGGCAAAATTTTGAGACAGAAAGTAGACTACTGGTTGTCAGGAACTTAAGGAAGGACAAATGGGGAGTGACTGCTAATGAATATGAGACTTTTGGGGGGCAGAGGGGTTCATGAAAATGTTCTGGAATTAGATAGCAACAAAGAATTTTCTAAGAATAGTAAAAAATCACTAAATTGTACAATTTTTAAAAGTCAATTTCATGACGTGAAATATATCTCAAGAAAGCTGTTATTTTTAAAACACAAGGAGTAACTCTTTACATCAATCAGGATGACTGTATTGAAAAAGACAACACTGAGACTTGGTGAGGATATGGAGGAATTGGTATCCTCAGATATTGCTGGTAGTATTGCAAATTAGAGCAGCTACTTTGGAAAATAGTTCGATAATTCCTCAAAATGTTAATCGCAGAATTACCATATGGTCCAGTAATTCTACCACTAGGTATATCCTCAAGAGAAATAAAATAATAAATAATTATTTACTATTTATTAAAACTTGCACACAGATGTTCATACAGCATTTGTCAGGATGTAACGTGACCCACCAGAATGAGAGACTTGGTAGCCAGTGAAGGCAGAGATATCAATGATGAGATTCCTAGGTACATAAAAACTAAAAAAAAAAAAAAAAAAAAAGAAGAAGAAACAAAAAGTCTACAGAAAAAGAAAGATCAGTAATTCTAAAATGCCATCAAATAAAAGAAACAATGATCTCTAGATTATATTTTGTATTAAATGATGGAGTCCTTTAAACCATAGTACTAAGGAATTTTGTAGAGAATAAAATATAAAGACTAATTTCTAACATCAAATTATGGAAAACCGATCAAATTCCAAGAATCAGCTAAGATAAAATTTTTGAGGTGTGTTTCAAGTAACTGAGAATAACAGTAAAGTCTAACATGTCAAAGTAACACTATTTTCTCATTCATTCCACCTCGTTGATTTCACTAATTGCTTGACGCTGTGACAATTGTCAGTCTAAAATGATATATTATCCATGCTCAAGAGTTTTTTGTTTGGGACCAGCAGTTAGTGTAATGGTATGTCACTGGACTCCCACGTAGTCGACCGTGGTTCGAGTCCCGGACCCAGTGACTTAAACTCATGCCAGGCGCGTGTGCGTGTGTGCCCAAGATCCAGAGAGGAGACTGGAGGAAAAGGGATTGTGGTGTGGCCATCCCCCTCTGGGGGATGATTTCTCGCTTTCTGTCTCTCTGTCTCTCTTTCTCTCTCTGTCTGGCGAGAGCTCGCGCCCTATAGCTAAAACCTCTCAAAAAAAAAAAAAAAGTTTTTTGTTTGTTTGCTTGTTTTTGGTAAAGTGATTTTTGCAGTTTTGCTTCTTAATACTATACAATTAGCTGATATTTGGGAAGAAGAATGATACAAGCAAATATAAAAGTAATTGCTCTCCTATGTCCAGGCAATCAAATAGCAAAAAGTCAACAAAAGCAGGAAATGTAATGTAGGGGAAAAAAGATGTCCAAAGCACTGGTCCTGGGATTGGTCATGAGTCAATGCAGTCAAGTGCAGGTCAATCCCTAAGACTGACATTTTGTTGACTACTTATAGGCCTGTGTTATAAGCCCATATCCAGAGTTTAGTAGTCAATGCTCATGATGGCAATAAAACATATCACTCTGATGTCATAACTTTGATTGTTATTCCAGGTATCCATTTATACTACCTTTACTGGAGCAGGACTACGTGGCCAAAAAAATCTTAAATGCTATTTTAGAGGAACAAGTTTACTTAATTATACCCAAATTTGCATATTTCGCATTTCTCCTCAAACAGTAAGTTATGACCTTGCTATCACCTTGATTTTTTGTCAACAAACTTTCTCATGATTGCTACCTCTTCTTACAGAGCAATGCAAAGACAATTTATTGGACTGTTGCTATCTGTGTCTTAGGCTACTTCAGACACTGACAAAATTTAGCCACTATTTTGGCCTTCCAGAGTACACATTATTTGTTTCAACACAGAAACAAATAGCACCCAGGTTATTGTTGGAGAAGTGGGGACCTGTCTGTATGCTTTTACTTTTGGGCAATTATTGGGTGGTTGGAAAAGTCATGACGCATTTTTGCATAGAAAAACATAGCAAAACATGCCATAACTTTCCCAATGACCCAGATTTATTAATACCAGGCTCTATTTTGAACATGAAGGACACGAATCCTGAGTGTGTTGCCAGAAAAATATTTCTAATTATTTATTATTTAATTTATTATTATTATTATTTAATTTGCTATAGGGAACATAAGCTCACTGAAGACAGAGAGAGAGGGAAAGTGAGAAAGCAAGCTGCCAGGTCCAGGACTCAAGCCACGGTCAGCCATGTGGGAGTCCAGCACCTTCACCGCCAAGCCACCTGCTAGCCCAACCAGGAAAATACTAAGGGTCATTTGGTAAGCTCCTTGTTTCATTTCATGAGAGAGTTCCTACGACTCCATACAAGGCCCAGGTGTGAATGCCAGAATGTGGGTGCAGGTGCACACCTCACGTTTATAGAGTGCTTACTGTGCGCCAGGACTGCACCGACAGCTTCACATGAATTTTATCAAATTTAAGAAATCTGAGGCTCAAAGAGAGAAAGGAACTTCGCAGGACTAATATATGCTAGGACAGAGTTTCAGTCCAGCTTCCAATCTGATTACAGAGAAGCTTTTATCTTCAGGATGTACTCCTCTCCTGCTACAAGGACTGGCACAGCAGAAAGCACAGGCAGAGATCCACTTTTAAATTATATTATTGATAAATACAGTACTTTCTTCACTGTTTATATCTATTCAGAGTATTTCCTGTTCATCCTTTACTGTTCTAATTGCTTGGCTAGGTCAAAGTTCCTGGCACTCTGGGACTAGCAGGTGGTGTAATGGCAATGTCGCTGGACTCCCATGTAGACAACTGTGGTTCGAGTCCTAGACCTGGTGCGTTAAACTCATACCGGGCACATGTGCGTGCGTGCATGCCCAAGATCCTAAGAGGAGAATGGAGGAGAAGGGATTATGGTGTGGCCATTCCCCCCTGGGGGGGGGGCGGATTTCTTCCTTTCTCTCTGTCTCTCTCTGTCTTTTTGGCCAGCACACACACCCTATAGCAAAAACCTCTCCAAAGAAAAACAAGTCCCTGACGCTCTCCATCACACCCGTCCTTGCCTGCCATGGTACTCAGCACACTGGTGGTCTCTTGTGGTCTTGCATGCTCCCAAAGGCAAGGCATGTTTTCTGAAATATGTCTTGCTTCCTGCTCCATACTCTGGCTTAGTACAGTACCTACTATATAATGAACATGCAATAGATGTTGTGTTGAGCAGAAATGAGCTAAAGGAAAAACAGCCTCTACATCCACGAACCTGAAACAATGATTCTCAACCTCAGGTACACCTGGGGAACATTTAAAACTACTGGTTCCAGGACCCTTTTGCCCAGAGATTCTGCATTAGTTGATCCAGTTTTCTTTCTAGTTTTAGCTTTTGTTGATCTATCATACTAAATAAGGATATGTGGGGGCTTTCAACAGAACTCAGTGAGTGTGATGAAGGATACAGCATGACTGCACACTGGGACTTTGCAAAGAGCTCGCGGTGACTGAGGTGTAGCCACCCTTGAACACCCGTGATGTTTAAGGGTGATGCACACTTTTCTGATTGTCCCAGCCATTACGTGACATGTGCACAACACAGGTCTCTCCGTTTCAGGTGTGTTTTATTTCATTTGTACTTAATCTTTTAAAAATGATCTCTCTGACTTCTTTTAAATGTTTATCTGCTTTCATCTAGAATAATATCTCCAAAAATGATGATTGTCCTTAGTGAGTACCTTGGAGTGGATACTTGCATGTCTTCTTTCAAAGGGAGAGAAAAAGAGAATGAACTTGAGACTGAAACTGAGAGAGAACACCAATAGTTCAAGCTTCGAATGTGATAATCAATTAAAAAGTATTATCTTAATAGACTATTTGGAATTCCTCTTAATGCTTAAAGTATTCCCTTCGACCAAGATCTCTAAAGCTTTCAAAGGTGCAATCTTATTCCGGGGACAGTTTATACATTATTTTTTTAAGCATTCAAATTATCTACCCAGGTTTTCTTTTTATATTTTTAGTTGAAGGAGTACATCAAGCCTAGTTGATGTACTCTGAATATGCCATGTCTACGAGGGAACTAGAAAAAATTTGTGGAAAAATGGAATTAAAGGACAGATTTATTTTGGTGCAAAAAAATTGAAACTTTGAATCAGTTCTGTTCATAATATGCATTTTTCACAACATTTCTGAAGACCTCCATACAAAAACAGATTGATGCAAACTGACCCTGATTAATTTTAAAATGCGCAATGTACAACGCTCTTAGAAAAGAGATCGTTATAATTACCTTGTACATCAGTATTCTGAGCAGAGCCTTTGCCAACAGCAGTGCTCGCCTGTTGTGAAAGCCCGCAGAGCAGCCAGCACCGCAGTGATTCACCGCTGTCAGAGCAGGCTCTTGATAAATACAGCACTTCCTTTACCATTCGTGTCTACTCAACCTACGTCCAGGTCATCCTTTGCTGCCCTGACTGCTTGGGTAGGTCAAAGCCCCTTGCTGTGCCATCCATCGCACTCACCCTGCCTGCATCTGTTCTGTAATTTTTAAAAAGAATGTTTACTTCACAAAGTGAAGGCCTATTTGTCCTGCCTATTGATTCTGACTAGAGTTAAAGGACGACACCCAGGCCCTTAGTGGGACTAAGCCTACCTGTTCAATAAAATAAATCTGTAACTCAACATTTCTGTTTGCATCCAAACAAGTGAGGCAATTTCTAGTTCCTGCACTACTGGTTTAAGAACAAAACGTATTCCCATGATTAACTAAATAAAATACTGTGTCAGTTCATGCATGTGAATGCAAAATATAAACTGTCTTTTATTTTTATTGCAGCATGTGTGTGCACTAACCAGAGAGACATAGAAAGGGAGAAAGCACCCCCTTTCCTCCATTTCTTCATCCATCAGGATTTTGGGTGCCCGTAGGTGCTCTTGGTGTCTTTCAAACCACTAGGGCCAAGACTCAAACTAAGCTGGCTATGTAGGACCCAGGTCCCAATGCACAGTGCTTTACAGCTCCTAGGGTGGGAATGGTTGTTGAGTTGTAATCATAAAATATCCACCCATCTAGCTTTGCCCCTGTCAGGCTGAAGAGCTAGTGAAAAATGGTAAAACTCAAATCTGAAATTGCTAATTAAATAAAGTATACATTCTGTTAACCAGACTGAGCTCTCAGCATAAGACTTATCCTAATATTTGGAGCATACTATAAGAGGTCTTCAAACAGTTCATGGAAGATCAGTACTATTAAAAAAAAAAAAAAAAAACTCTGCATAGATTTTAAAGTTGTTTTGCAACAATATAAATTTATACCTCCATTCTATTTTTTCTGCAGACTTTTTGAAGGTTCCTCATATTTCTTTAGTCATGCAAAGAAAGCATAGTTTAAGTTGAGATAAACTAGAGAAAAAATTTTGACCAGAGATAGAAGTAAAACTTCTGAACAAGCAATACTTTTAATGAAATAAAATTTATTTTTAACAGATTTGTGATTAAAAATTGTTTTTAGGAGGCCAGCAGTTAGCGTAATGGCTATGTCACTGAACACCCACGTAGTCGACTGCAGTTCGAGTCTCAGACCTGGTGGCTTAAACTCATGCAGGGCGCGTGTGCATACATGCCCAAGATCCCAAGAGGAGAATGGAGGAAAAGGGATTGCAGCATGGCCATCCCCCCTGGGGCGTGATTTCGTGATTTCTCACTTTCTAGCTCTCTGTCTCTCTCTGTCTTTCTGACGAGCACAAGTGCCCTATAGCAAAAACCTCTCCCCCACCACACACACACAAAAAAATTGTTTTTAGGATGGGACCAGCAGGTGGCATCAGGGCTACGTTGCTGGGCTCCCATGTATTCAACTGCCATTCAAGTCCTGAACCCGGTAGCTTAAACTCATGCTGGGCATGTGCATGCCCAAGATCCAGAGAGGAGAATGGAGGAGAAGGGACTGTGGTGTGGCCATCCCCCCGAGGGAGAGGGTGATTTCTCGCTTTCTGTCTCTCTGTCTCTCTGTCTCTCTCTTCCTTTCTGGTGAACACAAGTACCCTATAGCAAAAATTTCTCAAAAAAAAAAAAACTATTAAAACTACAAAAAGAGATAAAGGATCTAAACAATACCATCAATCAAATGGAATTAACAGACATCTATAGAACTTTCCATCCAAAATCCACGAGATACACTTTTTTCTCACCTCCCACATGGAACCTTTTCAAAGATTGACCACATCATAGGACACAAAGCAAGCCTTTACAGATTCATAGGCATAGAAACTATATCCAGCATCTTCTCTGACCATGATGGAATTTAGCTTGATTTTAATTTCAAGAGAAATCCTCAAAAATACTTAAATACATGGAAACTAAATAACCTACTCCTGAATGACTCCCCTATTACCAGAGAAATAAAAACTGAAATCAAAAGATTCATGGAAGCCAATGACAATGAGGACATGAGTTTCCATAATCTTTGGGACACCACTAAAGCAGTCATAAGAGGAAAATTCATAGCAATTAGTGCACATAAGAGGAAGATGGAAAGAAGGCAAATGGATCACCTAACATCATGCCTCAGAGAACTGAAAAGCAACAGCAAAAAAAAAATCCAAAAAACTCCAGGAGAAAGGAAATGATAAAAATCCAAGCAGAAATAAATGAAATAGAAAATAAACGCACTATACAGAAAATAAATGAAAGTAAAAGCTGGTTCTTTGAAAGGATAAACAAAATCGATACACCACTAGCAAGACTTATTAAAAAGAAGAGAGAAAGTAATCAAGTGAATCAAATCTGCAATGAAGCTGGTAATATAACAACAGACATAGAAGAAATTTAAAACATCATTAGAGGATACTTTGAACATCTATATACTAAAAAACAAGACAATCTGGATGAGATGGACAAATTCCTGGACAAATATAATCTACCAAGAATGAGCCAGGAGGATATAGAAAGTCTGAATAGGCCCATAACAAGCCAGGAGATTGAATCAGTAATAAATAAC